TAATTAATACAACTTCATAATTAGGAATGTTTGGATGTTACGCCACAAGGCGGGAAAGGTGGGATTAATATGGTCCAAACCCTAAAATGTTGGATTATTAATGGTGTCCAAAGATCTTTTAAAAAAATGGTTAAGAGTTATTCTTAGAAACTTTATGAGAGTCTTAAATCCTAGTATAGCCTTGATCATGCTATTAGTATAGCCTAATAGCTAATATTACAAAGTTATCATTGAAAACATAATCAAACAAGCTAATAGTGTCTCGAACATGCAAGCTACCACTTGTTACAGATGCATCTTTGAGCCATATATAATACATTCTCAAATTTCTGCAAAATTATTACATGTGTGGGTGTTGTATGTGTATGTATGTAAAATTGTTAGCCCCTAGAAATTGTTAACCTTGGCCTCATAATATGTCACTGTCGGCAATTAACTTTTCCACATTTATTGCTCGACTATTGCACATCTTTCATATTTTTAGTCATAAGATAGAATAAATGTCCTCGCTTCTTCTCTAACTACACCATGTTGTTGTCTGCTCGAAGACTAGATTTTCTGCGCCTTAGATGTGAAAAGATTGATAATCGAACACCTTGGATAGAACTGTCACCACAGGTGAGAGATCAAAAGCGAGAAAAAGTGATCTGCATCTGCTACAAATTATTCCTTCTGCTCCCCAAAACAGTTCCTGTTTGGACTTTTGCAGGATTTATTTTTCTAATTTAAATCACTAGCGTCGAAAAGAAACTAGAGACAAATCACTGTCAACAGATTACTCAAGTGTTTCTTTTTTGGAATTCCTGCAGGCTGCAGTTGACTGCTGGTAACTGCATTGCTTCCTTAATAACCTTTCCCAACCTTCCATTGTTGTCCAGGTCTCCAAGCGTTTGGAAGAACTGAAAGAAGAATATGAAAAGCAGCATGTGGCAGTCCCTCTTGCCCATGCTAAACAGAAAGAGCCACCACCCTAAGAGGTAGAGTTGTACATCTCGTTTGATTTTCATACATTTGGATGGATGGTTCTGTTAGCTAGTGTCACACACGCACACACACAAACAAACACACAATCTGTTCAGTTCTGGTGATTTCACAGATTTCAGGAAAAGGAGTATTGGTGTAAAATATAAAACAGAACTCGGAAATGGTAAAATATAAAACAGAGCATGTGTTGGAGTTATCCAGCGTTGGCTAAATATGAATGAATGAACCCGAAAAATGTTTGGCAGTGTGTCCATTTCTGGTTTCGGCATTGCACTGTTAATCAAGCTCCTTAATTACGTTCTGAAGCAAGTTTTGGATGGTTTTTGCACGTCGTCGTTACTTTGGAAGTTTCGACCTATATTGGTGTTGTCCCTATCTTGATTTCATTAAAACTCGAGTAAAGTCTATAAATAGTCCTTTATAACGGAAGATTTTTTTACAGATAATCTTCTATTTGAAAATTTTATATTTGTGATTTTCTAAATTTGAAAATTATTCCATAATAAGTTTTTTTGGAGGAAAATTTCCAAAATGTTTTGTAACAGTTTTCAAATATAGGAAACCATGAACATACTATTTTGAAATAGAGGACTATATGTGGAAAACTCTTTGCTATTGAAGACTTTATGGAATTTAATTTGAAAAATTTAAAAATAATAAATGGGCATCCTGGTAAATGGAGCAAATCTCTTAAAAAATGACTTTGGTCTTGACAATCACCATCTTGCTTCCCCTTGTCGATTATGGGATGGGATGTTATAAAACCCACTGCATTCAAGTGCTTAACATTTATGAGAATCAATGGCAAGCACCCTATAGTTTAAGCTTGTAAGCACAAATCCCGTAACTTTAGTGTTTTGACTTAGAGTGCTTGTATGGTGCACTTTGGGTTCATATCATTTTTGTGGACTTTTTCACATAAAAATTCTTTTTTATATTTTTTATTATTATTACTTTTAAAATGCTCATCTATGTAGTAAGAAATTGTTTATTTGAGTTATATGTAAGTCTATAGTAGAACTTAGGTCCACCATAGAATTTGCTTTAACCTCTAGACTTCATTTAAAATTCAAGGCGAATAAAACGTGCTCTTAATAGTTTATTGATCCATAATAAATTAATGATGTGATGTGATTTATTTTTTTCTTGTCTAGTAAGAAAGTAATAAACTTTTGTACAGTAATAAAGTTAGCATTGTGAAATACACCACTATTATGATGTGCAGATTTATACTATGTTTGGTTCAAGGAATTTGGTAGGAAAAGAAAAGAAAATGGTGTTCCATCATTTTCCTCACCAAAATGGAAGGAATTTAGTTTTCCTTCCTCTTAGTACATTTTGCCTTCTCTTTTTCTTTTCCTTCCACTTTTCTTTTCTTTTCCTCTCTAACCAAACAAGAAAAATATTTTTCTTCTCATTTTCTTTTCTTTTCCCTCTCAAATTCTTTGAACCAAACATAGTGTTAAAGTGTGAAGAGAAAAAAAATGTGTGAAATGAACATTGTAACTTGTAAACTGCCCATGGTGAATATATAATAATACTGCATACACAATTTTGTACTATAACATATGATCTCTCAAACATAGGTATAGATGAATTTTGTTTTATATCCAAAAATAATTTTCTTAAACATTTATTTGAGTGATTTTTTTTCTTTTTCATAATGAAACGGTTTAATTATTTATTTTGAAATAAAACTAATAGTGATTTCTTTTCTCTAGATCATATTTGTGTGACACTTCTTAACTTGTACAATAATTATGACTTCCTCTGTCTCAGTTTAAGTTGTCTATTTACTATTCTTTTCGTCCTAAATTAAATTGCCAATTTACTATTCATAGAGTTAAATTCATTCATCTTCTTTTCTTATTTTTGTTAGTAATTTGATAAAATAATATAATCATGTCACTACTAATTTTATAGATCTTTTGATGTAGTTTTTAAATATGTAAGTTTTGTTTTTTGATTCTACATCATTTTTTCATATAAAATAATTTGAAAATAACTTAAGTCAAATATCGTAAGCTGATACAAACGATTTAAATCGGGACGGGGAAGTATTTACAAAGTCAAACTTTTATCATGTTCTTGACTCATTTTAACGATCCATTTGAGAAAATAATATAGTTTTGTCACATCTTGTTTTGTAGAAATTTTGGTGTAGTTTTTAAATATAGAAATTTTATTTTTTTAATTCCTTATCAATTTTCAAATAAACTGAATTGAAAATAACTTCAGTCAAATCTCGTAAACAACAACAAGCGATTCTTTTCAGGATAGAGAGTAAAATTCTTATAGAACATAGAGAGTATTATTGTTAAAATTATTATTTCTTCCACCCTTAAAATATCATCATGAATACTAATACAAGTCTTCGATAATTTTTTTTGCATATTTATTATCATTAATTATTTTTTAAAGAACAACAAATTACTGATTGTTTTTCGAACTTTTGAATTAGTTTTATATGTGTAAATTGTACTCTTTATTTCTATAGTTTTTTATAAATAAAATTATTTTAAAAGAGATGAAATTTTACATGTTTTTTAAAATAAGATTATAATTTAGTAACAGATACACTAGTATGATTATTTAAATAAAAAAGCAATAGAAATAATAATATAATAATGGTAATAATAAATAGTAGTAGTAATACTAATAAGTATTACTCCATCCGTCATAATTTATATTACTCCATCTGTCATAATTTTTTTTAATTCCTTAATATTAAAATAAACTAAATAAAAAAATAACTTAGTCAAATCTCGTAAACAAGAACATGCGACTTTTTTTGGGGCAGAGGAAGTACTTTAATAGTTTAATGTATAAAGTTTTTGTTGTTCGAGTTTATTTACGCAAATTTTTCTTTCAACTAAGATTAATAAAAAATATTAGTCTCCTTATCCAAAATTTTAGAACATTGATTAGTGGTATACAAATTAAGAAATAAAAAATTTTATTATTTTTTGACTAACAAATAAAATGAGTGTGAGTGACAATAATATTTTTTTGCTAAATGAGTCACAATAATATTATTATACATACGATTTAATTTGGTTGAGGTTTATAACTCTATTAGAATGTTGTGTGTGTTCATACATTCTTAACATATTAAAGCAAAGACATTTTGATATAGAAATGGTGTGACATAGTAATACAAAACACAAAAATTGAAATAAATGGAGCATAAACTATCTTAATATAAACATGAAACTTCAAAAATATAATATCCATTTCAATACCTCTCCTTCATCATTTTTCATCTCCTTTCAGTTTCTTTCATTTTTTTTCCGTTTCTTCTCACTCTTTCTATTTTCTCTTTTTTTAATTACTTTTTGTCAATTTTTTTCTGTTTTCTTGCAACGTTTTCTATTTTTTTCTAGCTATTTCATGTGTCTTCCAACTCATTCTAATTTTATCTTGAATAACTCTATCTATAACCCAAAAAAACAAAGAGCTAATATAAAAAACTAAAAGAGAGATTAGTTGATGTGATGAAAAGAAATGTGAGATGTAAAATTCTATACATCTGCAATTAACTTTCTAGTCTGACTTGGTAACAAATTTTAAAATGATATAATGTGGTTAAGATAGATTTAGAAAGGATATTTAAAAAAATCACACAATTCTTCTTTTTCGAATTGAAAGCAAATATATTAAGATCTCAGTCAATAGATCTTTTTTTGAAGGGAAGATCAATGTTTTACATGGCACAAATATCAAAACTTGCGGATAAAAGAAAGGAAAAATTGATATAAATACTCCTAGAAATTTGAAATTTCACAATAATACTCCCAAATTCAATAAAAGACTCTGTTGCTTCCAATTAAACTATAAGTTTACATTACTACTCCCGCTATCTCTAATCAGCTTTTCTTATGCTTACATGTAAGTAATTATGCTTAATTGACATCTTAGTTGTTGTTTTTTGTTTTAATAAGAGGAAAAAATTATATAAATACTCATAGAAATTCAAAATTTTACAATAATTCTCCCAAAATCAAATAAAAACTCCAGTTCTCCTAAAAGTATATTCTCGTTTCACGTTACTATATTTTACTGAAATTATTTTTAAAGTATTTTATATGAAAAATGGTGTGAAATTTAAAAATAAAAATTACATATTAAAAACTAATATAGTAATATGTAAAAATAATTTTTTTAGTAATATTAAAGATTAATTAATTGAGCTTAATTGGCATCTTAAGTAGTTTTTTATATTTTAATAAAAAATACCCCTCCGTCCAAAAATTATCTTCTCATTTACTATTAAGAGTATTAACAAGATCAAATTTTATTTACTTTGCTTATCTATTTTAATTATGTATTTGATAAAATAATATAATTATATCATTACTAGTTTTATAGATATTATAATGTAGTTTTTAGATATATAATTTTATTGTTTGATTTCACACCACTTTTATTAAACATCATAACACGCAAAAGGAAGATATTTTTTAGAGTACTGGAGTCTTTATTTGGTTTTGAGAGATTATTGTAAAATTATGAATTTCAGGGAGTATTTATATAATTTTTTTCTCTTATTAAAACAAAAAGAACAACTAAGATGTCAACTAAGCATAATTACTTACATGTAAGCATAAGAAAAGCTGGTTAGGAATAGTGGGAGTAGCAATGTAAACTTATAGTTTAATTGGGAGCACCAGAGTCTTTTATTAAATTTGGGAGTATTATTGCAAAATTTCAAATTTCTGGGAGTATTTATATCAATTTTTCCTAAAAGAAAAAGCAACTCCAAAGGTCTACAATCTACAACTTTGTTGTCCATGAAGTAAATATTAACTTGAAACTTAATCCAATTGAAGTTTAAAAAATCAAAATGGTGAAATATACTTTTAGCCCCTGTAATTTTTTTTTGTTTAAGTCCTTACAAAATTTTTTATTTTGAAAATGGTCCTTAAACGTTATTAATAATATTCAATATTGGGCTAATACAAAACGCATTTTAAGTGCTTTGCACTGATATATGATTTCAACAAAATTGAGTTTCAAGTAAAAAGTTATACGGTAATTTAAAATACAATTTGTGT